ACATGTCACTATAGGCACTGAAAACAACCTGGGCAACTCACACCAGTGTTCTCTTTAGCTAGTGAGAGGGCAGCGATTTTTTTTCCCTCTTGGCTTATTTACATTTTCTGCCATGAAAAGTATTGTTTCTATCATAAGAAAAAAATGATGTTATTATTTTGAGTCAGGAGCTCACTCGCCGCCCTGGCTGGAGTGCAGTGGCACCATCATGGCTCCCTGGGCTCAGGCAATCCTTCTGCCTCAGCCTCCTGAGTAGCTGGGACTGTAGGCGTGTGCCATCACGACTGGCTAATTTTTTGATTTTTTTGTAGAGACGAGGTCTCATTATGTCGCCCAGGTTGGCCAATATACTTTTAAAACAGATTTCTTAAACTTCATTGCCTTAAAGGCTCTGCAGGAAGCAGATGACACTTTATAGGAATAAAATGTACACAGTTCACTGCCACCCGGCTCCCTTTTGCCGGGAAAGTCCTTCCTTTCATTCTGCTGCAGTAGGTCTTCTCCCTCCCGGCTGTGAAACTTGCTGGGGCTCCTACCTCTCTCCAGCCCGTTCCTCATCCCACCTCCCCAGTGCCTCGATGTCCTCAGTAAATTGTGGGTCAGAAGACAGCATACCAAATGGTTCTGTGCAACTCAGGGCTACCATCAAAGGATTAAACCATACGCTTAATCCTTTGCCATATTGCTTCACTGTGAGCAGTTCTGAGTTCATTACAACTTTCAGTTTGGGAACAGAACCTTTAAAAAAACTTTTTTTTTTTGGTAGAGAAGAAGTCTTACTATGTTGCCCAGGCTGGTCTCCAACTCCTGAGCAAAAGCAATCCTTCCACCTCAGCCTCCCAAAACGCAAGGATTACAGGTGTGAGCTACCAAGCCTGGCCAAGGGAATAGAACCTTTTTGCCAGCAGCAACTATGGACTTTCTTTGTCACCCTGTTAGAGGTATGTAACAATTACTTTATACATAAGGAATGTGTTTTGGTTTGGAGCATAACCAAACCTGTGCAATGGTGAGGAATTTTATGTTTTAGTGCATTTCAGTCTCATTTTCCTGTCAGTAATAATTTCCTATACATGCCTAAAAATAAGTAAGTCAAATGTATAAGACTCATCCTTTTCCATGAGACAAACTGACTTTATTTCCTGCCTCTTGAGTGGAACTGAAATCCAGCAACTTGTTTTTGGCAAAACAATCTGTCCTTTGACAGTGTGGAATGTTCTGTTAGAGGAGACAGGGCATGCTATGGGGTCTGTGCAATGAAAACAGTGTCAGATACTGTTCTAAGTTGTTGTTTACCATATATTAACTCATTTAATTTTCACAATCATCCCTTGAGGAACTATTCTTTTTTTTTTTTTTTTTTTTTTTGAGTTGGAGTCTCACTCCGTCACCCAGACTGGAATGCAGTGGCCGCTCCCGGCCACCGCAGCCTCGACCTGCTGGGCTCCGGCGATCCTTCCGCTTCAGCCTTCCAAGGACCTGGAACTACAGGCGCGCGCTCCCATGCCCGGCTGATTTTGATTTATTGTAGAGATGAGGTCCGGCTGCCCAGGCGGATCTCGAACCCGCGGGCTCAGGCAATCCACTCACCTCAGCCTCCCAAAGGCAAGGAACTATTCTTACTTCCTTGCTACGGTTGAAGAAATTCAGGCACAGACAGGTTGACTTGCTCAAGCTAGTAACTAGTAGAGGTGAGATTGATTGATTGATCGATGAATCAGGGTCTTACTCTGTTGCCCAGGCTGGACTGCAGTGGCACAATCATGGCTCAGCACAGCCTCAACCTTCTGGGCTCAGATGATCCTTCCACCTCTGCCTCACCAGCAGCTGGGACTGCAGGCCCATGCCACCACCCTTGGCTAGTTTATTTTTTTGTAGAGACGAGGTATTGCTATGTTGACCACACTGGTCTCAAATTCCTGTCTTCGGGCAATTCTCCCTCCTTGGCTTCCCCAAATGCTGGGATTGCAGGCCTGAGCCTCCCTGCCTGGCAGAGGTGGGATTTGAACCAAGGCATTCCAGGCCGGGTCGGTGGATCACACCTGTAATCCCAGCACTTTGGGAGGTGAAGGCGAGAGGATTGCCTGAACTCAGAGTTCGAAACCAGCCCAGGCAACTTGGCAAGACCTCATCTCCACAGGAAACCCCCAAATTAGCTGAGCATGGGGGCGTGTGCCTGTAGTTTCAGATACTTTGAAGACCGAGACAGAAGGATCAGCTGAACCCAGCAGGTTAAGGCTGCAATAGCCATGATTATGCCACTGCACTCCAGCCTGAGTGACAGTGAGACTCCAACTCAAGGGGAGAGAAAAAAAACAGAGATAAGCATTCCCACTCCAGAGTGGGGCTCTTTTTTTTTTTTTTTG